AATTGCTTTTGGAAGGGACCTTTTAAGGCCATCTGGTCCCACTTTCTGCAATGAGCAGAGGCACCGGCAGCTTCGTCAGGTGCTCGGAGCCCATCCAGCCTGACCTTGGCTGTCTGCAGGGATGGGTCAGGTAGTGACCCATCCTGGATGTCTCTCTTTAGTCAAATGAATTAATTTCTAAATGTATGAACTCCTGTTACAGTCAATGGAGACGTTTGTCAATACATAAAAGTAATCTGTAAAGCGATTAATCTCACCAGAAAGTAAACACCTGCAGTTCTATTTTGCTCAGTTTAGCTCTGTGAATATTTCAGAATTGTTACAGGTTATCTTTAACAATGGGGTGCTTATCTCTCTTATCAGAGCAATATTTTGCTGCCATTATTTTATAAGAATACTTCAGCTTATACAAACTTTTTTTAACAAGCGTGCTAATGTTGGGTTGCCTATGGAAACATGTGTTCCTTCACTGAGCTGTGTACAAAAAGAGTTGTTCAGAGCAGATATATATATATATTGTCTATTTATATATGTGTATAAAGGGAATGCTCTGAGAAGAAGGATGTAGATGCTAGAAAGGAATAGCAGTATTAGCTTTTATTCCCGAATTGTGTGATTAATATTATTTAGAGGGATGAATGAACCTTTAAAGCCTGTCATTTGAATCTGTTTGTTTTTGAAGTTCAAAAGCATAAAGTCTTTAAATGCCTTTTGAAATTCCAATTAAGAGTCAGTCAAAACCCATCACTTAAAGAATACTTTTTGTTTTACAAATTAGCAATTAAAAAGTGACAAATATCTTCAATGCTTAAATACTCTCCTGCCATCCCCATTATGTTCAAATTATGTTTTTTTTGGGCATAAGAGCATGTTCCCCAGTACTTCCCTTCTTTTCTTTCCCTTAGGAGTGCCACTTGCTATCTAACACTAAAGCTGAGCTCACTTAACCAGTACTGAGGATTATGCAAAATACTCAATGAATAGTTTAAAATCAAATTTATCTTTGCTGGCTTCACGTTATAGTATGGGTGGCTTATTTCCCTTTTATGTTCTTTTTTCAGCTGCTTTTTACTGTTTTTTCCCCCTGAGTTTTATCTAATGTTTCAGAACATCTTGAATTTTTTACTGGAATAGTAGAAATTAGAGGAAGTAAACTGCTTTGTAATGGTTTTAAGTTGAAGGAGGGGAGATTTAGGTTGGATGTCAGGGCGAAGTTCTTTGCTATGAGAGTGGTGATGTGCTGGAACAGCTGCCCAGAGAGGCTGTGATGCCCCGTCCATCCCTGGAGGTGTTCAAGGCCAGGTTGGATGGGGCCCTGGGCAGCCTGGGCTGCTATGAAATGTGGAGGTTGGTGGCCCTGCCTGTGGCAGGTGGGGTTGGAGCTTCATCATCCTTGATGTCCCTTTCAACCCAACCATTCTGTGATTCTGTGATTCTGTGATTTGTACTACAGGAGTACATGACGTCTTTAATTGAGGTTATTTCCCAATTTTAGCACTCTGAATGTGGCTTCAGACCATCAGTGCTCTGAAGAAGAGCACTGAAAGGGATTTTATTCTTAATATTCCTCTCCTTGTGGCAATTTCTCTGTAGAATATGGCCCCACTTTATCAGAATAACAAACATCAGCTGCTGGATGTATTAATTCCACGGAAAGCAATTGAGTGTTGTATTGTTGTAAATTATGTCCCTTTACTAGCAGGTTGTTTTCTTGTGACAATGACTTCAATTTTATCTGTTCTAGTGGATGTGAGGATTTATTGTTTGCACAAGGTGTCAGAGTACTTGAGAAATCATGAGAATCATTCACCAAAAGAATAAAATGTCCGTTTCTGAGAGGCTGGGGAACACAATGATTTCATATATAAACTGGTTGCAGAGAACAAATAGTGGAAGAAACCGTGATGAAGATATAGGTAATTAGTTCAAGTGGGAGAGGACAATTGGTGAGAGAACTGTCCTGTCTTCTGAGCAACATGTCCATGATGCAGTGGAATGAATTACTCCAAAAAAATCATCAAGGAATCATCCCTATAAAATCGAAGTTATTTGTCTTGGATGCCAAAAAAAGAAAGGTACAGAATCTCTGATTTCATGAATGCTCCAAAACATTTTCTTCTCCACAAAGCAAAGCTGACATGTCCAGGCTGTCTCAGTAAGGTAATGTGTGTCCAAGTCTCCTGTGAGAATGGGGTCATGTAGTACTACATTTTAGAGATTTCAGCAACAGTTATGCATGTTCAGGTTGGACTTGATGATCTTGTGGATGCCCCATCCCTGGAAGCATTCAAAGCCAGGCTCGTGGTTGGAAGTCTACACTCACTCTACAATTTCCTGAAGGGAGGTTGTGGCGAAGAGGGATTTGGCCTCTTCTCCCAGGCAACGAACAGGACACGGGGTAATGGCCACAAGTTGTATCAGAGGAGGTTTAGGTTGGACATAAGGAAGAACTTTTTCTCTCAGAGGGTGGTCAGGCACTGGAATGGCTGCCCAGGGAGGTGGTGGAGTTGCCGTCCCTGGCAGCGTTCAAGAGGCGTCTGGATGAGGTGCTGCATGATGTGATTTACTGCTGGTGGTGGCAATGGTGATGAGGAGATGGTTGGACTGGATGATCCAACCTTGTGATTCTTTGATTCCATGATTCTAAGTCCTGCCTGTAGCAGGGGGGGTTGAAGCTAGATGATTATTATTGTCCTTATCAATCGAGGCCATTCTATGATTCTATGGTCTTGAAGGTCTTTTCCAATTCGGATGTTTCTATGATTTCAAGGTTTTTATGTTCTAGGTCACTGAAACTGGTGGGGTTTGGTCTACTGGTCATGGGAAGGAGGAGTGGCTCTGGGTTTTTATGACACAGAGAAAGTCATAAGATTTTCTTTAATAATGATTTTTTTTTTTTTTTTTTCCTCAAGACAGTGGACCTGATCAGCATTTACTTGCTTTATGTAGCTCTCAGGCACAAAACTGTCAGTCAGAGAAACTTGGGCAGAATTCAGTCATCTAATTCCATGTTAGGCTTTTTCTCACTGGTGTTTTGTACTCTCGATCCGTTGACTAGTGACTACTTGCCTGTAAACCTCCAGTGTCACCACAGTGTGATCCAGTCAATTCCACCAGGGGCATCTCAAGTCCACTGAAAACTGAGGAGATATTTGGCACTCCACCTGCCTAGGGTCCAGGCAACCCCATCCTCCTCTTAGAAAGCATGTGTAGTGAACATAGGAACGTTCATCTGTGTAGATTGTAGCATCAGTCTAATTCTGAATGCTTCTAAAATGTCCTTGTGGATAAAGCAATATGAAGAAAGAGTCAAGAGGTATGTACGACTCTAGCATGGGATGTGAGGAATAAAGAACTGCAGAAAGTAAGAATTCTTGAATGTTCTTTCTGCAAAATCTGGGGACAGATTCAAGATTGATCCTTCAGTACTTTCTCACCAGCCTAGTTTAATCACAGAATCACTCAGGTTGGAAAAGACCTTAAAGATCATCGAGTCCAATCGTGACCTAACCATACCACCCTAACTCTAACAACCCTAGCTGAAGAACCCAAGTTTAATAGCTATAGCTGTCTCTGTAGTCCATGGAAAATGCAATTAGAAGGGTGACTTTCTGTCTTCTTTGAACTGAATGATACTTAGGAGATGCCTGTCTCTATCCAAGGTCTCCAGAAGCAGGCTAGGCTCCCAGTTGGTGTGACTCGCTTGAGCACCTGAAGCATCCTGAGTCATCACTTCTATATTTTTGTTTGTTACGATAGGAGTTGGTCAAAGTAAGTCTGAAGCTAATCTCTGAGAGTCAAAGAAAGAATATGCCTTTTCGAGTGATCGTAATTGTTCTAGTTGAACTTTGAAGGGACATTTCTGTAATTTCTCAACCTGTCGTATCTGTATCGTTATCAATAGAAAACTCATAATGAGTCCTTGATTTTTAAGTGTAATCAGAGGTTAGCTGATTTTTTACTAGCTTTTATGTTTTAGAACATATGTTATCATTGAAAGAGAAAGCACATTACCCATAATCAGGGATGAGTTAAATAATCCTGGAATCATACAATCAATAAGATTGGAAAAGACCTCTGAGAACCCCAGCCCCAGCCCACCCCACCATGCCCACTTCAGTGCTGCATCCCCAGGGTTCTGGAACACCTCCCACCCACCCTGGAACATCCTCCACCAGCTCCCTGGGCAGCTGTGCCACTGCATCACTGCTCTTTCTGTGAGGAAATTCTTCCTAATATCCAACCTACTAGAGTTACTAGAGTGTACACAACATGTTTCAGCTTCATAAAGTCCTTCAAATCATAGCTAACATCTCTGAACTATTTAAGCCATCAGAGAATTGTGAATGTTAGATTTGTTTCTTCCTTCCCCTTGGCTTTCACACCATATGCTTGATTCCTGCTATCTGGAGGCTTTTGCTAATTTACACCTGTTGACAATGGCCTTTTGATAACTGGCCATGTGGGTGAATGAATCCTGAAATTTTGTCTGAACATCAAATATGTGTATGCATAACTTGTTAAATCAAAGCATTTTTCCTCCTGTACTGCGTATAATTTAATCCATTATTATTGCCATCTTTAAAGACTGCACATGCCTGAAAACAGAAAATTAAGTAACTGTTTGCCATTAATACAAATTATTGTGTTTTGACAGCTTGCTAATCAACTGGAGTAAAAATGGTGCTGTACAAACAGTGCGATTGTATTTTAAGTAATTTTTGTTTGCATGAAAATTCTCCTTGTTTGAGCCTTTGAACCCTTACAGGACTTGTACTCTGTAATGTTAACATTCATTCAGAAGCATTATAAAATAAACCTATGTTTGCGTTGTGCACTGATGCAGAATGGATTTATCATGTAATTGCTCCACATGTAGTCTTGGGAAGTGCTTGGCCATCACATACTGGCTACATGAGCTGTATCAATGAATGTGCAAATGAACGATTCAGCACTGAGCAGATTTTGACATATTGTTATGTACTTCATGCAATATTCAGGTATGGGCTGCTTCTGGGGAGCTGAGAGGAAGTTTTGGAGACAGAAAGGAGTCTACTCCACTCATGTGGGTTACGCAGGAGGGTATACTCCAAATCCTACCTACAAAGAAGTCTGTTCAGGTAAGCTTGTCTCTTTGATTTTTAAGGATTTTGAGGTGGTCAGGTGCTGGAATGGGCTGCCCAGGAAGGTGGTGGAGTCACCGACCCTGGAGGTGTTCAAGGAACGTTTGAACGTTGTGTTGGGGGACATGGTTTGGTGAGAAGTGTTGGTGATCAGTGGATGGTTGGACTGGATGATCCTGTAGATCTTTTCCAACCTTGGTGATTCTATGACTGTATGATTCTGTGACAATTAAGAGTGAAGGCCTGACTGCAGCCACTGAAGAGCTATTCACAGAACACTGCTACCTCCCCTGTGTCCTGAACTGCAGGGACATCCACGGTGCACCCATCCCACTGTCATCTCCTACCATTCGGTAAGGTAGAAATACTTTGAGAAAAAAGGAAAAAACGTACAAGTTTTAGGTTTTCTTCATTGCTTATTGTGTTTTAATGCATTTTCTCAGGAAGTGGTTCTTCTGCAACTTACACAAATGTGTCTTTTAAAAAAAGTATGAATTTTGACTTAAATTTTATCCATATTTGAGTATAGACAGAAAGCAGAAAGTGAGCGTTTCTCCCTTTTCTTTCCATATAGCCTCCTGGGAAAGTCTAGGTTTCTCATTTGTGTTATTATTAAAAATGTGTTAAATTTATATGTAGTTCATTCCACAGCATCCTATCATTTCCAAATCAAATCCTTGCCTTTATTTTTCATTGCACTCCACACTAATCCTTCTACAACACTGATAATCTACTGCAGTTTCTTTCTGTGATTGAAAACATAGAACCACTGGCACCCAACTGACTCATGTTGCTGTTAAAGTAAATTCTTGCTTTCCTGTAGTGTATGATGGAGAACAACTTGGAGGTTTGCTTTTGCTTTATTTTCTTGATAGCCCTTTTTATGCCAAATGCTGAAGTTGATGTACTTACATAGTAACAATCTATTGTGTAGGGTTGATGGAGTGGAAAGAATTCAGTGATACGAACAAATAATGGAACTCTAGCAACCATGGAGAAGTGCTGCAAGGCACTCAGAACAGGAAAAAACTTTATAGAAAAAGTAAAAAATATGTGAAAAAAGAGGTTTTAAAGTGGTATTTTATAGACAATACAGGGCTAGTAAGAAATTGCCTTGGAAGTGCTAAAGAAAAAGTACAGATTAGGGAGAATTTCTGCTGGTAACTCAGAGAAGTACGTAGAAATGTAAAAATGTCTAGAACAAAAAGAAGGATGCTATGCTTTTATATTAACTAACGCAGAGAGACCCAGGATTCCTGCAAAACAGCAAAGGGAAATACTACCTATGGAGGGATCATTGATGCCTGTCCTACTATCTATACAAGCTGTTGCTTCCTAATGCTTTCAATTCCTAATATTCCTGTGCTATCTGCTTTGATCATTTCTCTGCATCATCTGTGAATTTGTAAGCATATATAGCCTGCTGTAGGGAGGCTGCTTTGCAGGAGGGTTGGACTCGATGATCTGCAGAAGTCCCTTCCAGCCCCCTACAATTCTGTGATTCTGTGATATGGTCACTGGCCTATCTGTCATTGTTTGGTCACTCTCTTTAATGATCTGGATGTTAATTAGATCGTTTGCATAGAAGGGGGATATACAGAGTAGGGATGTGCAGAATAGTTTCTGTTTCCCAATGTACTCATTGCACCAGTGCACTGAGGTTAGTCCTGTTGGTCTGTTGAGTCTTTCTCCAAAACCCTGAATGCTGGCTGTTGGTCAAGGGAGGATGTGAGCACAGGACAAGGTGTAGTCAGGGGAGCAGAAAAAAGATACCACATCTTTTAGTCCTATACAATATATGCTGGTTTTATATTTTGGGATGGGTCCACAGTATTGTGTGCTTTGCATTTGATTTGGATGCTTTGAAAGCTTTCTGATGCAACTTTATTTGTGTTATTTCATCAGCAGTGAACAAAAATGGTAATTTAACAATAAGAATCCAGGAATCCAGGAATAAAGAAATGGAAAAAAACTATCTGCAAAGTCTGACAGTTTCGTATTGCAAAACCACAGCTGTAGTTAATTTTCCTGTGCTTGTTTTTATACACTTTCACATGGTGGATGTTTGTATGCCTCCAGGTACTGGACACTGGTGGAGTTTTTCCTCAGAGATATCCATAAGGATAAGCACATATTTCACAGCCTTGTCTCTGTGAACATAAATGGGATGCATATGTGCTGCATATTTCTGTTCCTAGTGGTGCAGCTGAGCTGAACTGGAGAATGTGCTGATTCCTGCATGCTAATTTTTTTCTTCCTACTTAGCTTCTTCTAGCTCCATTTTATTCTGATTTTATTCTGATTTTTTTTTTTTTTCTGGCAGATTTTATTTCATCTTTGAACATGCCGTTTGGAAGTCTCTGTAGAGAGCTCTCACCAGCCCCCCTGAGATATTGCCATCTGGCTGCTTCTGGCTGCCGTAGTTTTCATTGGGGAGAGCAACTTATGAAGCAGTAGACTTCAGTTGCACACAAGTGATTGCCACTTTCTTCTTCATCTGTTCTGACAAAGTCATATCCATGGCAAACACTGAACAGTTGTGGCCTCTAAATCCAGCTCTAGAAAGCACATGAATGCCACTAAAAGTTTTCTGCTTGGCAAGTATTTGAGCTTTGCATTCAACCCATGCAGGCTGGAGAATCTGTGCAGGAAACTTATTTTAATCCAACACCTTCCTGGCACTCTGCTCTGAAGGAATATAAGCAATAATTCTTTGGATTGAGCATGTAGCCCTTGTTCCAAAAGCAGATCATCAGCAAGACCCGAGGCAAAATGGTGTGGATTTACCATTATGGCCAAGCTAAGGGCTCTTCAAACGTATCAACCAATGGTGCTTTTTTGATTTGATTTCCTACATGAGTTATTCTGTAGCTTATAAACACAGTGCTAAAAAGTTATTTTGATGTTGTATGGTGACAACCTTGCAGATGAAAATCTGAAAGGGCATTCTGGACTGGGTGAAGGATTTTGAGCTGTATTTGGTGCATTAAGGTAATCCATCAACACGCCGATTTTGGCCAGCGTTAGGCAGCACAGGATGTTCATTCGCCATGAAAAGTATTTTTGTACTTTGCTTCAGAGCAGTTCTGTATTTATCTGTATATTCATAAGCTTTTTGAAATCTGCATAGCTCAAGTGGCTCTGAAATCAGAAGGGAAAAACTCTACTGTTGTTATTCATAAACTGGTGATGTACAATTACCATATAAAATCAGAAGCTAATGATGATTTTCTTAAAAACAGAACAGTTTACAGCGTTATGGTCCAGGCTGTTAACATGTAAGCAGGTCATTTTGTTTTGTTTTGTTTTTTTCCCCTGTGTTTGTCTTCAGTGACTATAATAGAAGAAAAATAGATGAATGTGCCTGTTTATTATCCTTTATTTGTTACAGGGCTTAGTGAACATAACAGTATATTTGTTTAGTTAAACCCGTTCATAATCTTGTCAATTCTCAATAACTTTCTGAAGCGTATTCTCTTGTATACGGATCACAAGCCTTAATAATTAACAATGTAATATTAAAGTGCGCCATGTGGAATTAGTTCCTCTTTTGAGTTACATAAAATACTTGATGTGAAGTTGTTTTACATTTTGTATGCAGCCATCCCACTTTTTTTCTTCTTTTTTCTCTTCTGATGGGTAATACTGCATATCAATTAGTCTTTTGACTGACCCTGGTAGGTAGGAGTTTCCATTCCCTTTAAGACATTTGGGCTTCCAGAGGTCACCTGGAAGACTTCTGAGTAGTTAATGGAAAAGAGTGGAGAAAGGCAGAGCTATTTTCTTGCTCTGTTACCTCCCACCCCCTTGGTCAGCTGTTGATTTACAGAATTACTTCTCTTTCTTCTTCATCTGAGCTCTACATGAGCCAGGGCAAGACCAGCACTAGGATTCATGATAGTTGATAGTTGACATGTCTTTGCTTTAAGAAAGAAAATGCATGCAGAGGGCTTGACTCCATGACATAGACCTTATTTGACATAGTGTGCATTAATATCACTGCTAAACAGAGAAACCAACAGCAGAAGGTCTTTCTAGCATTTGCACAAGTTACTATAGCAATATAAAGACAACACAGTATGGGGAGATGCTTCTTTCTGTCTCAGATTTCTCATTCTCTCTGTGACACAGATGAACAACAATCAGTATACTGAGACACCACCTACCTGAAAAGCCCTTAATTTAGACTTCACAGCCCCATTCTGAAACGAGTCTGACTTCTGAAAATGCTTAAATATATAAGCTACCAGTGTTCACTTTCTTTGGCTTGTAAAGGGATCTGAAGGTTTTCATGAACTAAGTCCACAAGATCAACGCTTCCAAGCAGTAATGAGAATGGCTCAGGATGTTTCCTTTTAGTATTAATTCTCTGTCAAGAAAATAAATTCCTGTTGTCCCATTATCTGTTCTTTTTTTAATGTATGTAAGATTAGCATATAGGAATTTTACTGACATGGATTCTGTGAAGAATACCGGTGCTTACCATGGCCTCGATCTGTACAACATGCCTTAATATGGTTGGCCTGTTGCTCTACCTCCTACCTGTTGGTTTTTGGTTTTTTTTTGCCTAGTTCACCCATCAGGAAGGAAAGAAAGATCATCATATCATAGAATCATAGAATCAATCATAGAATGGCCTGGGTTGAAAAGGAGCACAATGCTCATCCAGCTCCAACCCCTGCTGTGTGCAGGTCACCAACCAGCAGCCCAGGCTGCCCAGAGCCACATCCAGCCTGGCCTTGAATGCCTGCAGGGATGGGGCATCCACAGCCTCCTTGGGCAACCTGTTCCATTGCAAACCAATCAAAGTACAAAATATCGAACTGATCAAAGTTAGAGCCACGTACTGTGGATATTACTGTTCTGTAATAGTTTTACAGCAACTGAAGAACAGGATATAGTAGAAAATATTTAATTTTTAATAACTAGATCACAGTTAGAATAAGTTGTGTCTATAATCATGAGACAGTAGTCCTTGGATCCTCCTGTATGTGCAG